GTTCTTATAGTTGGAGATCATCGGTTGTTTTATGAATAATGCATACTAAAATTGTGTAATCAAAGTTTGTTTCGACCAAATCATAATATGGATATTTTTGTTTCTCAGCATTCACGAAAGAACTCTAGTCAAATGTTCACTTTTTACAGGATTAGGAAATATCGATGATACTTCTTGAAGTAATTGTACTAAATAATGTAATTTATGAGACTAGAATTCTATTCGGATTAATCTGTTTATATTGACTATTCATGAAGAAAAAAAAAGCATAATTTTCTCACTCAGTCATTACATAATTTATGTAATCGAAATCGAAACTTCATAGATAAACTATGATGATGAACTTTCTAAAAGCATAGAACAAGGTAGCTATGAGGTCTCAGAAAACTTTGTTTAAGCTAATTCTTAACAATGCGAGCATAAAAAGTACAATATTTCACAAACTCCAAAAAAGTTTGTTGCTGACTTTTTAGACATTTCTTTGTCTTTACGACTTTTATGATTATTTTAATGTTTGGAGTGATGATCGTAGAAAATGCCATGATTCCTAAGTTTTCTGTTAAGAGTGGCAATGTTTAAAAACACCTAACGAAAACAAAATCTTCTGACACCAGAAAAATAGCTCGTCCAGTTTTCCGAAAGCTAACAGTCATAGTTTATTCATGAAATTTTAATATAGAATGCATTAGATAGAAACCTCCATCAGTTATTAAAATATTATGATCTAGACGCTTAGTATCTTAGAAAAAATACTTTCTTGCTAAACTTTTCTCCACCGTTTAAAGCACAACAATGTTTATCGTGTTTCGAGGATATTCGCTATTGTCATGAAGTTGATCTGAATGGAGATCGATTGAGCATGCAAAGATTGTTCAGAAATCATTTACTTCGACCATGTCGATAAGAACGCACTCAACAATATAATTATCAGTATCAAGTTTTTAAAAGAATGAATTTTACTCTTAAAGAATCTCTTCTTATTAGAAATAGGATAGATAGACTGTTATTATTATATGTTCAAATACGAAAATTGTAAACCAATGCACATTTGACAAGTAGCTTGTTAATTTTAGAAATCTTTAGACTTTTGAAAAAGTAAATCTTCCTCATAAATAAGCCGGTTTCAGAAACTATTCGAAAAAATAGTTTGGGATTTATTATAATTATTGATAGAGCAATCGAAGATCGTCTATTCGAAAATAAAACACTCTCCAAGTAATCTCATTAAATGCGAAAATTTGCTATCGATACATTATCTAATTATTTATTTATATAACGTAAGTAATGTTAGAACGGAATTCAATTTTTCATCTGTGTTCGGTCATAGATGCAGACTTTGATTCTCTATCGAATGATACCATTTTTGATATGGATTATCTGGCAAAAAAATTCACTTGAATCTGCCTCTAGGTGTTTGGTATCAAGGATGGATCGAAAGTGAAGCCTCAAGTTCTTACTGTCGATCCATATCCTCCACTGCACTCACGTCCACACCCTTGATAATCAAGGACAATGCGTTTTGACTAGCATAATCAAAATTTAATACACTGGTATTTATTGTTATTTTGATTGAATACGTAAGATTTTCTTTTAATTCAAAAGAAATTTATTTTATAAACTTCACGAAAATTATTTCTTCAGTCGAAAATCTCTTGCAACCGGAAACTGATATCGACTATGCCCGTCTATAGAATACAACTTTCTTATCTTTAGACTAGAAAATTCAAAAAAAAAAACGCTTTTTAATAAATGAAAAAAAGTTTTCTTTTAATGATGATGATTGTTTATATATGGATAGAGATCAAAATTAACAAACAACACAAAAAAAAGAATGGAAAAATATTAATGAGGTGTTATGTGAAATTTTAAAATGAATAACATGAACATGTGATATAGAAATAAAAGCATGAATACAATTGTTCACACATTGAAAAGTTTTTCTATTTCATCTTTTATAACGTCAAAAATTGCAGATTGATCTTTTGAAACATGAGAAACTGATGATTCATCTGATTCATCTAATGGATACCATGAATCCAGCTTTTCTATTAAATTCAATAAATTTGAATAATGATTATTTGTACGTCGAGTATCTTTCCATAATTGCAATGATTTTAATACTAATTCGTTAACATCTTGTAAATATATAAATGAATCAATTGTTCGTTTGATATCAGCATTACTCATAGCCATTATAATATTTAAGGCACATATTAAATCAAAAGTTCGTTCATAGAAATAATATGGGAACTCTTGGCCTTTTAATAATTTTGAATAGAAATTTAAAAATGGTTCACTAGCAAATGCAAGTGGACCAATCATATCTATGCTGCCCCCCTTGTTATCCGTATTAAATGCAAATGCAAAACCGAAATCAATTAATTTTATATGACTACTATCACAATCTGACATTAAATTTTGTGGACGTACATCACGATGAACAATACGACAATCATACAAATAATGAATTATATCAATAAGTTGTTTCGATTGTATCAATGATAATGATTCTATACATTGTAAGTTTTTTTTCATAGAATAAATATTTATCTGAATACAAATAATAAAAAATTTAGAAATAGTATAAAATATTATGTCAATCATAAATAAATTGAGATGTAGCCTTGTACCGACACAAATCACTTACATATAATATTCTTTTTATTAATTATTTCATCTAAACTACAAATGAATAATATAGATAGCTGTTTAATCACAATCTTAGATATGAACGGAAGTTAAAGTCTAGAAAATTACTCTAAGATATTTAGTTTTCTTTTATCCATAAGAGTTTTGTTTTGTGTTATCTATCTCGTTTTTCAAACAATAGTTTTTAAATCTTTAAACTGATCGATGCAACGTTAACATTTTACAAAAATAATTGGACGAAAATTTTACTAATTTAATTAAAAAGTATTATTTTGGTTGGAAAGATAAACGGGTTATTAAAAAAAATTTAACTTTTACGATGAGTTTCGTTAATATATAATACATCTTTTTCTTGCAAACCTCTACTTCTATCTATTTATCCTCTCTTTTCTTAAATGGACATGAAAGACTAGAAATATATAGATAAAGATTTGGGCATATATACTTACCTATATACATTTTCCCTATATCCTTTTGTTGTAACTCTCCTATTTATATCCTTAACCCTAGTGCGTTACATCTATACCTTTAGTCATATAGCTTTATATGTATCATATTACGTCTATACGCTACACACTTATCCTATTGATAAATACCAATACTCTTATCCTTTAATTAATCAGTGAAAAATCGTATAGATTTTTGCAAAGATTTTTCTTGAAAAAAGTATTCGACATTTCTATTTTTAAGCTTAATAATAAGAAATTATATGAAAAGAAAAAGAGACGATGATAAAAATAAAATTCAAGTTGTTGTCTACATTACTCCTGAAGAATGTTTGATGAAAATGAAAGAACTATGATCATTCGGAGTATCTTTTTGTTTTTGAATAAATATTATTCATTGCAGCTACTATAGAGAAAAAGACAAACATTTAGCAAAATCGATTCAATTAAGTTTCTACTGACATATCGATTTATCTATAGTTTCTAAAGAAAATAACTAATGTTATGTATTTTATTCAAACTAAATTTATTTATATTTGTATTTTTTCTTACACAATTATTCCTTTATTTCTCAATATTAAAATAGATTCTACTATACATATTACTCATAAAATTCATTTCTACAACAGGATCTATTTAAATAGTATCATTTTGAATCTGATACTTGAAAATGTTAGCAAAGTTTATTTCCTATAGCTATATTTTTACTCGAAATATATTTCACTAAAACCAAAAGACTACTACTCATGAACGCCTTTACACAATAGTTATGTATTTGAACATGTTGAAACTAAAAACTAACGCGTTTAACCACAAAAACTCCATGTTTTTCTGTGAAAACTGACGTCGAAGTACTAATTCTTATAATCTGTTGTTCTTGAGTAGTAATAACATGTTTTATCGAGTTTTCACTTATCTTCTAAGGATAAAAACAAAAACTAGTCTCTTTTTTTTAACTTATTTTATTTGAAATGATGATTCTTTTGTGTTTTTTTTTTACAACAAATATTTTCATCTAAGACAAAACGTTATAGTTTTATGCTGAAATTACAGTATCAAATATAGTCTGATGATTTTATATCTTACAATTATATACATATATGTAACATGAAAATAAACTTGCATAATTATTCTTGTTTGTCCTGTTTTATATACTTTAAAAATATCTAAAAACCAAAAGTAACTCTTATATTCAATCGATTGTATTATCCAGATATTTCTCTTCTTATACTAGTCGACGTTTTTGAGTCTATTTTGTCCGACTTTTTGTTTTCCTTAATCGATCAGGCAAGATTCTTCTAACAGAGGAGAAAAAGAAGATTTTTACCTGATGTTCAAGATAAAAAGAATCTTGACTGATTTTTAAGAGAAACAAGAATCTGGAAAAAATAGATTTAAGAACATCGACTAGTGTACTCTTTTAATATATCATCAAGAGTAAAAAAGCATTCGTTTCATTCGAAATGTCTTTTATAAGTCACCTTATTCAGACAAATTACATTGAAGATTATAGATTGAACAGTTTCACTATTTCATAAAGTCTTCTATATCTATGTATTTTGTTTTTAATTATGTAAAAAGTATGTTTTTCTTTCTATTTTCTTCGATACATTTGGAATGTGTAGAAAAAGTGAATAAAAATGTCAACAGACAAATATCTTACCTGAAGACAATGGATATAGAATATCTTGAAAAAATAAATGAAATTTATTTAAATTTTTAAATTGTTTTAATTTTTTTGTCATTTTAACTTCTTGTAAAAAACATTCTGAATATTTACTTTCTTTTAATATTTTCATTACATAATATTGTGAATCTTCAACTGAATGATTATTTTCATTTTTTTTAAATAAATAAATCATTGATGTTAAACTAATTCCTAATTTTTTTATTATCATATATCGATCAGCAAGTAAATCATCATGAGGACCTATATTTAATCTTGTATATTGATAAAAGTCAATATTCATTGTTAAAAAATTTGTAAATATTTTCCATGTATGTTTATTAACATCTAATTTTCTTGTATATTCAGTTGTTGTTATTGATGTATTCATAGACGATAATACATCAGACGAATAAGTAAACATTTCTAATTCTTGACTTTGAAAAATTTCATACGAATCCGAATTGAATTTGTTTTTCACATAAAAAAATTTGATGTGTATATAATTACTAAGAAACCCATATATGTTTTTACGATGTTGTACTGCCAATATAATTTTCGAATATAATAATATATCTTCAAGCATTGAATTTGTTGATAAAGAAACATATGGAGATATTAAATTACCAAGACAAACAACAAAATCTTGTAAACATGATTTTTCTTGATTAATATCGATATTTATATTTTTATATATAAATGTACAATGAGGATTAAACTTATCTTTTAAATAATATGAAGATGTATTTAAATATTTTAATGATGTAGAACTATTGAATGTATTTAATAAATTAATAATTAATTGATCAAATCCTTTTTGAATTTCTTCTTCATTTAATTTAGGATATGATGAAAATTTATTTGAATAATATTCAATAGAATTTAATATATTATCATTAAAATAATTATTGTCATTTTAATGCTACATTAATATCGAACGATTGCAAATCATCAAGTACATCGATATCGTACAAGTAATCATGAGATGCAAATACATTATAATGTCTTTTAGTTGATGATGAATCGGATTCGATGTCTAGCTTCTGTGTTTTTCTTTGGTAAGCTTCATGTGTTTGTTGCTGTTTTGCTTCTTTGATCTGTCTATTCAATTCATTTGTACGTTTTATTATTTCAAGTTGACGATCCAATGTTTCATTTATACGTTCATGTATTTCACGTTCACGCTTCACTATTTCAGTTTGACATTTGATTTTTTTTGATTTCATATTGATAAATGGCTATTTCAATTTGTTCCATATCCTGAGCTTCGTGTTTCATTTTTTCAATTTCATCTTTAAGTTGTTTGATTACTTGTTGTGTTTTTTCTTCCTCGTCAAGTAGCTTTTCTATCAATTTTTGTACAGTTTCTTCTTCACTATCATTTGTAGCCATAGTTGTATAGGTTTTTTATTTTTATCTACAAGCAAAACAGAAAAGATATTTCATGAACTGAAATCATGAGGAAGACACAATCGAATGATTGTAGTCAGGCAAGATCGAATAGCGAAGTGACAATAATGTGTAGGTTAGTTGATATATAATTCACTGACGGTAGTTATATATGATTATTGAATAGAATAGAATCAGTCGGGTGTGGGATGTGGGTGTGGGTGTGGGTGTGGGTGTCGATCTGTCTAGTTGAAAGCCTACACACCCACACCATCCACTCACACCCACACCCACCCATACCCATACCCACACTCACACCCTTGTTTAAGCTTAGTTTACATCATTTTGAAGCCGGACATTCTTGAACTGTATGGCTGGTATAGTTCTCACAATTTAACTTGATCATTCGTAAATGTTGACATTGCTTATACAGTTCATAAATGCTTGCACAAAATTATTATAGATTCTATTTCTCTATTCCAAATACTTACTGTTCGCTTAGTAGACGAAATAATTGATGATTAATATAATCGTTTATTTATTCGTTCTAACATTAAGAGCGCTTGAAAGTATGCAAGCAGTACTATCAGCATAAAACTGATAAATACAACTGAAGAAAACATGTTTTTAAAAGCACATGATATTGGCAAATAACAATGAATCTTTCAATGTTAAATCGACGAATAGCAGTTTCAAAAGTGTTGACATTATTTTGTGATGGTTCCTGCTGTTATCGGATTGTTGTACGATTGGTATTCCTATCATTGTCTTTTCAGCCAATTGCTGTGTCAAATATAGTATGTCGACGAAAGTTGCTAGTGGTCTTGGTACCTGTTTGTTAAACAAGAAGCATTGCTAACGAGGTTAGTCATTTGAAAGAATTTTCTTCCATATAATAATTAAAAGTTTGAAAGGAAAAAAAATCATCGTGAACAATTGAGTTTGAATTTTGTAGAGAAATCGATTCTATTTTTACGAATAAAAATTGGGATAAAATTTGATAATAAAAATTCGTTACAATAGCCTTTTTAGATATACAGAGTGAAGTGAACAATTTAAAACCTACTTTTCCTTTATATTCTTGATTAAGAAGTCTATCTTTGTCTTTCGCTCTTGTCAATTGACTCTTCTATATTGTCGAAAAAAAAAAGAACTTGAGATGCACTGAAACAAGAAATTTACAAAAATCACACTCATCCTCTTTCTTCTAAGGAAATATTGAAAACAGTCTATCTTTCGTTCTTTCATGCTTTTCTGCACGATCTTTTGTATGAATAACCACGAGAAAAATAAAAAAGAGTATATATTATCATTTTTCTTATTGACAATATTTTTTTTCATATTTTCTGCTATATTAATTGAATATTGACCGATTTAAAATAAAAAAAGAACCAATGAAAACAAGAGTACTCAGCCATTTCTATGACTCGATGAGGTTAAGAAAAAAAATTTTTTCATAGCTGCTTTCAAACAGAAATAAATGAAAATATGGAAACAGTTTAAAGTTTACCATCCTTCATTTGAACTGATTTTGTGAAGCCTATTTCATTAAAATTGAAATAGAAATCTTACATATATTGAGAAGTTAAGAAGAATTGATCTACTGCCAAATACATGATTATCTCTTGAAAATGAACGGACAACACAGTTGAAATGTCTTGAAGTATTGATACCTGCAGGTTTTTATGAAGTAACATTGCTAAAAAACTATCATAGCAGTTTTATCTTTATCAAAATATAATATCTATCAGTTGGAATAAACTCTCGTACACATAATACAAATATTTATATTCTTGTATTGTGATAATGTTGATCTATCTCTAAAAAAAAAATTGTGCGATGATTTTTATAAAATATTTTATTGAAGCATACAGTATTAAATATATTCGTTTCTTAAATATTTCAGTTAATTTTATTAAAATGTTTGATAACTTTGGTTTTGAAAAACAAGTATCTAATCGAAATAATAATTAAATATTATTATTACATGCATAATAAAGATGACGAAATATAACGCGATTAAAGAAAAACATCAACACTCAAACGCCCTCTTTTTTTTTTAGTTCCGATAAATATCGTGGACTATTTATTTGATTAAATGCTTTATCTATTCGTTGTCATTACTTTTGATTATATGCGCCACCTTTTGATGAATCTTACTGATTGACGAAAATAGACAAATCAATAGAATAAACAGAAATAAATGTGTACATGTAAAAAGGACTTGTGAGTTTTAACAAACTGGCAACAGCTTTTTTTTTCATTTGTCAATTTTTCAAAAGATTTCATTAACAATCTATCTAACTCATTTGATACATCCTTTATTGATTGACGAAATTAATATTGGAAAATAGTGTAAACGTACTTATTTATAAGATATTGTTGAAGTGCAAGTATCTCTCTATTCTAGAAAATTCCTTTTCACTGTTCTTTTGTGAATGGGAAAATTTATCAATCTGATAAAAATAAATAAAATATCTTAGTTTTAGACTAAATTGATACAATAACTTGCGATCGAAGTATGTACAATCCACCACCTGAGGGACATCAGTTTTATCCGAATCAACAACAATCTGGATTTATGGCATATCCACCACCACCCGGTATTTCTTTCATTTCGAATGATTTTCATATTTTATGTATTAATTTAGGCGATGGCTACAGACAAAATGAAATGCCACCTCAACCACCTCCTGTTTTCCCTCGTCCATGGGGAGGCAAAGGTTAGTTTTGTTCTAATAATTGAATATTTTTCGTAAAGTTATTGACAAATTCTGAATACACAGATAAATATTTAGATTATAAGACTTTAAAAATCATCGACATGCTCGAAGATGTTATTCTATGACGATATAATATTCGCTCATAATGTTTTATTTTTTCTTTCTATTTCAATTTTGAGAAATAAAAGAAAACAAAGTTGTTACTATTATGTGTAAACATAGTATTTTCTTATTTTTATAATGTATATGATTATCTTACAGATAAATAAGAATAAAAAGTACATGTCATGTCGAGTACCGATGGAACTGACGAACAACTTAGACTTAGTTCTTCATATCGAGGTAGGAATCTTATTTCCATGAATAAAAAAAAAACTTTTGCTTACACTTATTATCATACATTGAAGTCAATACTAATAGTCTTTTGTCAATGTTTGCCTTTATTTTTTCTTTTGTTGAATTGAGCTTCAGCTTCATCTATTGCGTGTTCTACCAAATTACATGGTGTTTTTAAAATAAGATAAAGGAACTTTTGTTCATTGTTTTATGTCAATTGCATTTATCTTCAATCAATAACATAAAGGTTAAATGTCACTGTGTGATCTTCAATATATAGGAGAAGCTTTCGTCATATTGTCTTCTAAAACTGCTTTATCCTATTTTAGTTTTTGCTTTAATTACTATTTTACTGACCTTACTTAATTCGAATGTTATCTGTCAAATTTATAACTGCTAGTTGTGAAAACGTGACACATAGTAAAACTCTTTTACTATTAATTCATTTAAGAAACAGTTCATTATTACATGACCATCATGAAGTTTGTTTGATAAATGTCGATAAAGAAAGAACAAATCGAATTTTTGAAATATTCTATTGTGACTTTTTTAGTAAATACGCTTTTGTATCAGTTGTAAGCCATTAAAGTAAAGTAAAATCGTCGTGGAATTATAGGTACACTAATATTTGCATTTAAAAATTAATATTCTTTTGCTGAAAACCTGATCTAAATGCTTTGCTAATTAATATGACCAATTTATTTTTTTCTACAATATAAATGAATTTTTTTTTCTTATAAAGATAATGAACAGGGTGGAGTAGGAGGAAGTCAATGGGGAGATTTTACTGGTCTCGAAAGCAAAGAAATTCGTCGTATGTTTATTCGAAAGGTTTGTACTAATTGAAATCAATAGAAAAAAAGCACAACTATTTTCATAATTTTATATAAAATAGGTTTATTCAATTCTTATGGTTCAATTAGCCATTACATTTGGTCTTATTGCTTTATTTCACTTTATGTATGTTTTTTTTTTCTTGTAATAAAATATATTGAAAAACTATGAATGATTTATAATATAGACCATCAGTTCATAATTACGTACGAAGTTCAAATGGTCAATGGCTTTATTGGACATCATATGTTGTTTTTTTTGTTGTTTATATGGCGTTGATCTGTTCGCGACGGGCAGCACGAAATTATCCACTTAATCTTATTTTACTTGGTATTTTGGTAAAGATGAAAAATAAAATAATATTAATTAAAAAAAAAACTGAAATTTTTCATTTTAGACATTATCAATGGGCTATATGGTACGACTTGATTTAAAAATAATTTAATTATTTATTATGTTTTTTTTTTCTATTGATAAAACTTTAGATGGGCATGATTTCAGCATTTTATAAAGTTGAATCAGTTTTGATTGCTGTTGGTATAACAGCATTTGTTTGTTTGGGCATTACATTATTCTCATT